ACGGAGCGGCGGGGTTTTTCGCGAATGTTCGCGAATGTTCTCGCATTCCTCAGCGCAAACAGCTGCTTGCGCTAGGACGTTAGAAGTTTTCCTGAGGATGAGGCAATGCAGTAAATGCAATGATTCCATTTAGAAGTAAAGTATAGACTTGTGCTTGAATAATCTAAATTTTTGATTGGTTTATAGAATGAGCCAAAGCCTACCATCTATTTTCAAACACAATTTCATGTGTGATGGCCTCCTTCAACTGATTAGCTTCAGTAAACATTATATTCGGCTTTGTTACGACGAGTTCGACATTGAATTCTAGTCCTCCAGAATCTTAAAAGTGCCTTATTGAGATTTTCAGTAAACAAATTTGAGACTCTAAAAAATTCTTTTAAAAAAATCCTGCTTTGAGGAAGGTAAAATCTCCAAAGTGATTCTTATATACATACCCATGCAAAGCTCTCCATTTTAGATTAGGTAGCAATTATCTTACTAAAGCTCAGTTTCATCGAAGGTAAGCGCTATTGCAAACTTTATCAGAAGAATTGATTTATAAAGAAACGATTTGTATGAGAATATTTCAATTACAGTCACAAATTTTCTTCAGACAAGTAGCTCTCTTTTCACTATCTCCAATAAGAAGTTTCCATTTCTTTCTTATTTCTTTTACTATAACCCGGCTAATTTTCCTCGACCATTCTTCCCTTCAGCAAACATCCGTATTTCTCAGAGAATTCAAAAACTCGTGATGCGGCTAAAATGAGATGAAAATCTAAACCAAAACAAAGAGAAAGCAACCCCAGCACTCGATTATTTTCTTTTAAAAAAAGGCATGGACTTGTAAAAAACGGAGGAGTGTTTAGACACAGAAGTGCATTTCGTGTTCCAAAACTGTGAGGTTTAGACACGGTGACAAATACTGGCATTTTGAAATAAGTATTGTGGGTTTGACATGAAGCTTAGGTGCTATTTTACAGCAACAAGGTTGACTTCAATGTATGCCCTATTACTGAAAACTCCTAGTGGAGTAAGAAGTTCCGAAATGAAAATACAAAACCTATACACTGCTACACTTGATGAAGAAAAGGAAGCACATTCAAGCCGCTACCATCCACTTCAGTGCATCTTTTTTTTCCAAAAAATTCGATTTTCGCTATCCTGTGAGCATTGAAGTCCCACTCAACATTCATATAGTAATCACAAACTTTTTTTTTTGTGTACCTGATTTTTGCATGAAGAATTTGATTTACTGCATTAACGGATAGGCAATGATGCAGAAAGATTTGCTGCTAAAAGCACTTAAGAACAGTACGGTAAGTATCGTACGGCAGGAACTTTAGAATTGGATTAGCAAGGATTGCCAGTTTAGGAAGAACGGATCAGAATGATCTTGAGCGTTGAAACCTTCCTATAGAAAAACTCTATGCAGTTCCTTCAAAGCAAAATTCCTTTCGCACTCACATTGGTAAGGTTTCTCAGAAAAAGTTGTTGAGTGGAATACCGTATATGGAAAAAATTCTTTAAGTGAGTAATTGTTCCCACGTCTGACTATTGAGTTTTATTATAATGACGGACAAAAGTAATTTCTATGAAACCTTAAATATGCCTTTTTCCACTTTTGACGACCAAATAATCGTCATGATGAGTTGCATTTAATAATATTAATTATAAGCCATTCTATTCTCATTCTTATCTTTCCCAAATTTGATCCTTAATTGCTAAAGGAGGTAATTAGAGATGTCTCGCCAGCCAAATTGTAGCTTCAGGTGCTTTTTGAACCAACTTTCTACAGCATCCTCTAAATAATAGGAAAATACAAATGTTTTTGGAAAAAGTTTTCAACTGCGAATCAGTTGGTGTAAAAACTGAAACTTATTTGCTAAAACACTCATGTTATGAAGAAAACACAAAAACACCCGAGTTCGCGTGTTTTTCGTGTTTCGTAGAATTAGCCCAGGTACGGTAGCTTCAAGATAGCGCAAGAAAACCTTCATCCCCATAAAGAAATCAAAAGCGTACTCTCATCTTTGTGGAATTATGGGAACTGATTGAAATTTTTGAATCACAAGAATAGATTTGTTATTAAGAAGCTCAGCAAAGCCAAATGTGGGTCTGAGATAGGCATTGTAATTGTTTCTCGGGTTCCGATCTCTTTATCTTCATTTCGTTTCTATCATAATTCATGCACCCTGTTGCAGGAGAATTTAAATCATTGATACAACACTAGGGGCTCGCACTGAAAAAGCTTCAAGGCCTTCAAATATCCTAAAAAACAGCAGAGCCATGAATTATTTTAATATATGTTTTGAGGTGTTCTTAGTAATATAGTTGCATTCAGTGTACTGCTTTATCTAGGGAATTTTTCAGAGCGATGGCTGCAATCATTGTTTACATCGCGGGCAACCAATCGCGTAGAAGAATGTTCGCGAAAATCCGCGATTCTCATCGCTCTACCATTGTTTACGCTAAGAGAAAGCATTCGCGACGTGGAATTTTCGCGAAGGACTCGCCGCATCCTTTATAAGCGCAGCGCTCGATAGAGCGATAGGCAGACTAGTAATCTGTGAATTGCGCGCAATGGCTCTCTATCTTCTACCACCACATCTATGCTATGGTCAGCGACGACCTCACCGACGAGCACTATTCTTCGTGGATAGCATTCTGGATGATCTCGACCAGATGGAAATGGCAATGACACCAATGCTAGACGCCTTTTCGCAAAGAGAAGATTCTGCAGGAAAGCTGGAAAGGGTAGGTTTAAAATTTTGATTTTGTTGTAGCCGTAAGAAAAGCTAAGACTATTTGATTCTTTTCAGATTGTTGATGACGACTCCAAGCTCGCAGTATCCTTGAATGTTGCAGAGTTTAAGCCAGAAGAGCTTTCTGTTGATTTGGACGGAAGAATACTCAAAATTCAAGGAAAG